CCATCCATCCATCCATCCATCCATCCATCCATCCATCCATCCATCCAACCATCCATCCCTCCATCCCTCTTTCCATCCGTCCACCCACCTACCCACCCATTCCTTAAGTGGAGATGCTGACCAGCTTTGTGTTGAGGCAGCATAGAGCATTGACTCTCAATCCTGGCGGCACATTGAAATCATCTGGGGAGCTTTAAAAAGTACTGATGCTGGGGTCCCAGGTGGGGCCCCCAGAGACTCTGACTTAATGAGTCTGGGGCTTTTAGAGCTGTAGGTGACCACAATGAGTAGTCATAGTTGACACCCACTTGTGTGGATGGAGCTTCCTTTGCTCTCCTGACGGCTCCATGAATCACCTGAGGAGCTTTCATAAAATGACTATGCCCAGATCTCATGCCCAGAGATCCCGTCTGATTGGTCTACAGTGAAGCCCCTGGTATTGCTGGTTTTAAAACTCCCCAAACAATTCTGATACATAGTTGGAGATGCAACCCACTGGCATAGAGGAATCCAAAAATCTGACTTTGAACCTAGGCTCAGCCACTTGAGGCTGTGTGATCTTGAACCAGTTATTTAACCCCACTGAGCTTCAATTATTCTATTTATAAAAGAGTGGTCCTAGGAATTTCTGCAGACAGGGCCCGGGGAAGTGCTCAGGGACTCATAATGCCCTAGTCACCATGGGGTTTCTCAGCCGTGGTTTTGGCCTTGCCCTGCTATGTGCAAGGCCCAGGGCACACCATGCACCCATTTCCCCTTGGATACTCATGAGTTCCATTTCAGACCTGTGCACCTACCTGAGCACCCAGCTCAGAAACCTGCAGCGGCCGCCCTGCCCTTGGCTCAGCGACTCGGCAACTTTGACCCACGGAGAAGGCCCTGCCTTTTCTCCACAACCACCAGAGTGTGGTCCACAGACCAGCAGCCTCGGCAGTCCCTGAGATCTTGTTAGAAATGCAGGCCTTCCCCCACCAGTCTGAGGATATGCATTAACAAACTCCCCGTGTACAACAGCTATTTGAGAACTTGATGTTTTTGCTCATCGTGTACACATACAATCTCCTTTTCCTCCCCGGCCCTGCTGGAAGGTAGGCATGGCAGATATTTTATTCCTGTTGAGCAGGGGGCCAGCTAGGTGACCCACCTTGGATTCCCGTGCTGTCTAATGACATCACTGAGCCCGGGCAACAAGCTTCTGGATTTGCCGTCTAAACCCTTGTGAACTAGATTTCATTTTGATAAGGCTGCTGATATTAATGCTTATCAAAAGAGAAAGACTATTTTTCCCCTCTTTTTTTTTCTTTTTATTTAATTATTATTCTGTCAGCAGGATATTGATGCAGGAAAAAAAAAGTATCCTTAGCTGACTTCGGCCCAAGTATTAGCCAGTAACTTCCAAATAGAAAGAAGGGAAGGAATTATCCAGGTTATCAATATTCCCTTGTCTTAGCCAACATTTGGTGAGTACCTATTTGTGGGCCACGTTCTGTTATAGAAACAGTATTACAGACTCGAACTGGAAACCTGAGTTCATACCACAGTCTTGCTGCTTGTTAGCTGGCTGACCTTGGGCAGGTTATTTAACCTCTCTCTGACTCCGTTTCATCATCTGTAAGTGGGGATCAGAAGTGCACCTGCTCTGAGAATATTAGATAGCAGACGATATGTAAGGCCTGGCCCATGGGAAGTGCTCGGTGTGTTAGTGATTAGACTCCACGGGCCACAGATCCGCAGGCAAAATAGACATCAACAAATCCTCACGGTGATGCATGCAAAGGGCTGTAAATCTGTGTACCCCCCAAAAGATGTAGCTTCTATATCTCATGTTATGTTGCTGATAAACTCCAGAAGGTTGTAAGTTCTTGGGTCATGCCTGAGCATTCTGGCCTGGGCAGTTGGAGCTACAATGTTCACATGGCATCCCTGAATATCCAACTGGTAGGGTTCTGGAGAGGACCTCAGAGGTGGCGAGAATCATTCTCCTGGGATGTCTGACAAAAAGCCACATCAAGAGCGATGCCAGAGGCTTGTAGATAATTGTAACAGCAGCTTGTGCTCGTGAGCTTTTACTACGTGCTGGCTGCTCTTTTGAGGGTTTTAAGTATTTTAACTTAATCTTCACCGCAGCTCCGTAAGTTCAGGGTCCGGGAAAGGCACTGTACCCGAGGCCTGCAGCTCGGACGGGTGGAGCCCAGTTCTCGCCTGGGCACTACTGGGGACCTTCTACACTCTCAGAGCAAGGGGACCCCTCACCTCCCATCCCATGTCCCTCTGCCTGTGCTCACCTCTCTCCGCTCCTGTCTGTCTTTGAATATAAACCCGGAGGTTGTGCTGTCACTACTGAGCTGGGGAGGTCTCATCGTGCTACCTCAGAGGTGGCTGCCAATGGCGGTCTGGGCGCACCTCTCCCCAGGGTGGCCCCGTCTGGGTCCCCCCCCCCCCCCACAGAGCGCTGAGCAGAGCCTTCCCACCCAGCGCGCAGCCACCCAGCGCTTCTTCCCCCT